GGAGAGGGAGGGGGAGGGAAGAGGAGGAAAGGGGAGGGAAGAGGAGGGAGGGGGAGGGAAGGAGAGGGAAAGGATCTGGTTTGAGAGAAAAGGCTTTCTTGTTTTTTGAGTTTCAGGCCCAGAGAGGCAGAAACTGCTCCTGCCACACAATATTCGTGCTCTCATTTCCTTAGTAATAACAGCACCCTGGTTTATTTAGAATTACAAAATGCAAAGGTAAAAAAAAAAAATTTTTTTTTTAAAACAACCTTTGTTTTTTAGTACCTAGGCCAGCTGTGGGAGTGATTGAGGACTTCAAAAAGGTAAGTTGGGAGAATAATCATGGAGGCTTCATCATGACGCAAGCACTATTTTTTTTCCTTTACTATTTTACTCTTTCCAAGCTTCTATGTGGATATGATGGTTGGAACTCTAGCAGCCATCCTGTGATCTTGAAAATGAGCCATTCATTGAGACTAAGTAAGCAGAAAGATAAAAGGAAGTTTAAGACCTTGGGGCCAAGGAGCTGCCTGAGTAATTCTGTATGCTCACTTCTAGACTTTGTCATAGAAAGAGAAGAAAATTTTATGTACTAAGTCATTGTTTCTGTGATTTAACCTAACCCTGATATAATTTGGTCCTTCGTGGGATGATTGACAGTGGGATTTCTCTTGCCTAAAGTCACAACCCCAACCCTTACCACAAGAGGGTAGCCTTGCCTAATGGGTCTCAGCTTAACGATTAACCACCGCATGAATGCAGAATCAGTGCATTCTGTGCAGTTCCTTCAAAAATAATAGTGAGCTGGCGACAGTGATGGCTGAACCTGGCTGAGCTGCAGCAGGCTCCTCCTACTCCTCTGTCCAGATCTTCAGCTCCTGTAAGCACTCCTAGAATAAAATAAGGTATGCAAAATAGTGCTGACTCCAACAAAGCACAATTTGTATTTCCAAACAGAAAAACGAACTTTTGGCCTAAACCACATTCAGGTAAATGGCAACTGGACACTTTTCTTGTTTTGTTTTCCCCCATAAGAAAGTACTTGCTTTACATTTGTATAATGTAAATTTCCACTTCCTACAAGGTGGAAAATCACCTGCAGGATGTTACGGGCTATTTTTGCAGTTTACACTTACCAAAACTTCAAAATCTCTGGGCAGCAAGTTTCAGTCATTAATGGTCTGTACGAGGGCAGTCACTCATCTGCTTCTCACTCAAGCTAAGAGCAAGCCGCCCTCTCAAAATGAAAATACAGGACTAAGTCTATTTAAAAAAATACACACACAATTAATCAACCCAGGAGTTTGTGGTGTGAGAGGTGGTTGTAAAACAACCCTCTGTTGAGAGTTTCTGATCACGTCATTTTGGTACCATCTGAGTTCTGCTTGTCCACCTCCAGTTCACCCCCGGCACTGTGGAGTTGACGTGGTCAGTTTGTGGAGAGCTAACCTCGTAGTCTCTTTGTTTCCTTCCTGTACTGCTGTAATAAATAAGAAGAAAAAAAGTACCTATAGAGAGCTTACCCAACATGCTTGAGAATTACTCAGATCTCCTGAAAGGCCATATGGAAAATGTCTGTATGTAGTAGAATGAGTGATCGCTGGGCAGTTTCAAAGTCAGAGAGAGGAGCAGACCAGCTATTCACCAGAACAGAGACAGACATCTCCCTTAGGAGAAAGTACACTTGAAAACATAGGATACCCTGTTAAACTGATATTTTTTGCAATATTTGAGACCTACTTATAATAACAAATTATTTGATATCTGCATGAAATTTAAATTAAATGGTGTCCTGGATTTTATCTGGTAATCCTACTTGGGGTTAAAGAATCTGTTCTTTGTGGAGGGTAAGGGACTAGTACACCAACATATTCTAAAATCTGTCAAGGGGGCTTCCCCAAGGAAAGTCACTGATTAAAAGCAAAACTGCCACAAACCACTAGGCCTTTTACATAGGTTTCTCAAAGTAGCTCATTTCTACTTGTCATTTACCTTCACAGAATGTCAGGTGCTCTCCCACCCCTGGTTTATTGGAAGTTGTTAGGGTCGATGACCAACTAGCTAGCCTAGGACCATTGAGGAGCAGGATTTAAGCCCCATAGCTCTGATTCCGTGTTGCATACAGTAAGACAAACATTTGCCTTGGGCTGGGATATTGTGTGTCCTTTCATTAGAAAGACAATAGCAAGAGGAACCTTGCCATCTCTTCATCAGACGCTCCATTGTCTTTCAGAGGGCAAGCTACCCAGACTATGAGATAAGAAAAAGCTTAGTTTGGGATCTTCCTTGAGTTTGCCCACTCTGGAGTGTTCCTTCCAGTAGATCTTCCAGGGACCTCTTTCTCACAGTGGTACTTGGTCAAAATGTATGGTCAGAACCACTGGATACAGAAATGTAAGGAAATTCCTTTTCTCCTCTAGAGCCAAGGAGGATCCAGGTTGGCAAGGCCATAATATGTCCTTTGTAGTCTGCACACTAGACTTTATACTAGACTTTTTCTTTGTCCCAGAGAATTGCGGAAGTTACTGCCTCCTTCATTCTAATTCCCTCTGACATTTACCTCACCATTCAGTGATGTTAGGGGTTTCACTAACTTTAACTCTCTTGAGTTTCCCAGGGAGGCACTTGAAGGTTTAGGCCCCTCTCTGGAATGTGTTCTCTCCTGGTCTCCCCACTCCTCACTTGGTTCACTGGCCCTCAGGTTTGAACCCCACCCCCAAGCCCCATTACCTTTAGGTCTTATCTAAATTGTTACCAACCTCACTCTGAAAACCCAACAGTGGGATGTCTCATTCCCTGATTCACATCCTTCTTCCTCCTCATGCGTGGTCCCAAGTCTGTCTTTCAGTTTAGTAGCACCTTGGGATAGTCAGAGACACCCGCTGCCCTTCAGATTTTCTAAAAATAGATCTCATCATCATGGTAGGTGTTGCTCCTTCTAGTCACAATTCCATTGCAATATTCCCTATAGTCTGAGCTGCAGTTGTACCAGGCCTTTTAATCATGGGCCTGTTATATTGGGCCTTGTGATAGTTGACTAATTGTGTCAACTTGAGTAAAAAATGCCCAGCTAAATTGGTTCAGCATAGTTCTGGGTGTGGAAGATCCATGGTAGAAGGATTATCACCAGGATGCTATAAAAAGAAACAAAGAAGGAAGGATTTCTTCTGTCTTTGGAGGAGCTTCAGCCTTCACTTTCATTTAGGATGTCATCTGGCTTCCAGCACACATTTTTCAGCTTCTGGCGCAGACCCTTCACCCTTCCATTGCACACTTCCTCCAGCCTCCTGATATGGATTCACATGGACACTACACGGAGCTGTAGGCCTTCAACTGGACCCAGTGCATAGACATACATTTTGTACTCTTCCACACCCAACTCGGTGGGCAGCCATTGTAAGCCACTCTTGTGAGTTCTTAAATATTTTTATAGCTTGTATTATATCTGTTTCTCTAGTAAGCATTGACTGATACAGCTCTCTACACTGTCACAGGGATAGCATGACTTGAAGCCACATGGAGAGGCATTTGATTTCTCAGAGCCCCATGACTACATGAACAGGTTTTCCAGCCCAGAGCAATCAGAAAGGAGAAAGAGGAAGACCCATTAACGGGTGTTCCCTTGAAAGGCCCAGAGGACTCCAGGATGGTTAAATTGTTAGGTTCAATGTGTATCTTCTACAGGAAAGGGGATGTGAGTGGAATTACTTTTTTCTCATCTAATTTTTCATAATTCATAAGATTCAATTCCATCATGTGATTTTCCTTTGTTTTCTCTATGATTATTCATTTCTAACCACCCACATACTATGGGTTTCCCCCGGGGACCTGGCTTCTGTGGACTTCTAATCTTGGCACATGCTGTCCTTGCAGCCTAGAAAATCTTCTCTCACCCTCCTTGCACCTGACTTACCTGTAGTCCTCTTCCTCTGAATAAACACTGCCTCCTTATCTAGGCCACCAGATCTCCTTGGCAGAGCTTCTTAAACTCTAGTATGCATAAGAATCACCTGGAAAAGCTTTTCAAAAGCAGATCCAAAGAATAGATTCCTTCTTACCAGCTCTGACCCCTTCCACCAAATTCTGATTCAGTAAGACTCGGATGGACCCAAGGATTTGTGTTTCAGTAAGCTTATGGAAAGTTACAATAGTACCAGTCTGCAGATCACACCTTGGGTACCACTTAAATTACCCCACCTCAGTGGTGCCACAGATCCCAATAGGTGCTTTACCAAAACACAGAATTATTAATATCCCTTAAATGTCTACCTTCCATGAAATGTTGCTAACACACACAGACAGATTGTGTCCACCTTACAGAATTATGTCCATCTTACTTACTGTTGAATTCATTCAATGAGGACAAGAGTTATCGCATTTAATTGCTCAGTAAATCCATATTTCTAAGGAAGAGGTAGAAGAAAAGGGAATCTTCCCATACTGAGAATCTTCCACACATGAGCATGTGGGTCAAAGAGAAGGCCAGAAAGTACTGACTACAACCTTTGGAAGAAAGGTCTAGACAACCATGGTGGTAATGTTGAATGTCAGTATTTATACTGCCTCTGGAAATTTTATGGAAAAAATAATATATGAAACAATATTTTTAGTTATATCTGATAGGAAAACTTTGCAAGTAATTACTCAACCACAATGATGGACACAAACCAAAGAATTCATTCATTTTCCATCCTGAGTACTCCTGCAGAGAAGGCTTGGCTGTAAAATAATATGTGGGCTGAGCAGAGGTTCTAAAGTCACACAGACCTAAATTCCAGGCCTACTAATTTCCATATTGATGCCATTGAGCAAGTTAACTTAACTGTTTTAGGCCACAATTTTTTTGTAGAAGAGTATGGCACCCTTGGAAGTAGCAGGATGACATAGTTAAGAAGATAGACTGCCTGTGCTTGAGTCCCAACTGCACGACCCTGAGAAAATTATGTGACCTCTACATGGCTCAGTTTCCTCACCTGTAAGGTTGGTTAAAAGATGATTGCATTGAGTTGAATTGAATTATGGTTGTATTGAATTGAACTATGCGAAATTACTATTTTGTAGGTAATAAATAGTTGAATATCAGTTATTTCATCAAACTAATACCTATCTCATAAGATTATTTAGATGATTAAATGAATCAGTTTTAGCCAATAGGCTTTAAATGATAACTTACATATTAAATACAATTCAAGAGTTATCTCTTATTTGGATAGTTGACTTTGTGGAGGAGTCAAATGAGCATGATAATGTGATAAACATACATAGGAACATCGTAAGCCTTCAGTAAAATGCTGCTTGTCCTAATTTTTTCTTATCTGCTATA